GGATGTTTTCAGTTTTACTGTGTTGGGTAGCTGGAGTTATAATCCAAACATTTTCCTCAACAAAATCATGCCAGACTAACTGGTCAGTTTAAACTGAATGAAGAACCAGTTGAGCACAGAGAAAGCTCACAGACAAGCAGACCCAGAAGAGCAAAAACTTACCTCAAAGATAAGACAGGCTTATAAAACCAAAGCCAAGTCTAAGAAAATCTAAATGGAAAACATTTCATGTTCACATAATATAGTGAAGAGTGATACATGGTACAACTCAGGAGTTAGCTACTTACTTCATGAATTTGTCAAAAGTGAAGACTAATAAAGTAGGAGATTTCATTAAACTTATGGGGTAGTTCACTAAGAATTAAGTTCATCAGAAGGGTGTGTGTCATTTGACCATAATAAGCTTATGGGTGTAAAGATGCTAATTAATTTACAATTTTTCATTTTACGGTATTATTTAAAGTATATTTTAGGGATAAATATTTTTCAGTGTATTGATGTATTTAAATTCAGATTGTTTTATGGCATATTTTATAACTATTTATTTTTAAAATAACATTTAGGGTATATTTTTTCCCCATTTTGTTTGTTCTCTACCTTACCTCATCCAACTACTTAAGATTTCATTGGACATAATCATGTTAAGTGGAATGGCACTAGTTTTATTCCAAATCTCACTTGGATATAATGCTTTGAGGCCTTGATTCCTATACGTCCACAATACATAATAAGCTTTTCGCTTATCTTAGCAATAAAGGATTTGACCCTAAATCAGGGAATTCTAAGGTGCAGTTATTAACACCATTTCTACTCTCTACCACTTCACCGTTTCTCATGGCTGAAGCTCCACACTTAGCTCCATTCTGGTAGGTCTCAGCCACAAAGATGCCCCCAAAGCACTCGCATACCAAACGTGAGCCACACAGATGTCCAGAAAACCTGTAACTTGGACTATTGCGGGGTTCATGTTTATACCATGCAGGAGATTATGCCTTTGCTTGTCACAGGAATCAGTGCTTAGCTCATAATAATTAAGTTTATTACCCATCTCCCTGGCAGCTCATAAAAAGCCTGGTCTGATGATTGTGGATAAGAATTACAAGCAGAAACAAAAGTCAGAGAACAATCCATCCTTTGCAGCTTTTGTCACACAAAAGTGATCTCACTAAAATCATTTAAGACTCATTGGTATTAGAGGGGCCTGAGCAAGATAAGAAATATCACAGTTAACTTTTCTCATAAATGTAAGCTCTTACATCATTAATGATAAGGCAATAGGCAATAAGAAGTTAAATACATAGCATGTTTCCTTAACAGAAATTAATCACATCAAAACATGCCCGTGGATTTACATGTCTGTTTAGACTGGGAAATGATTTACATAGGTCTTAACTATTCTCATCTTCAGGTCTCCTTGTGATATAGTAAATTAACCAGGTGCTCTCTACAGAATATTCTCAAGTCTTTTCACACACAGATCTTCAACGTGGAGGCCAAAGACTAATGCAAATAAATCTTAGAAAGTTTCTTGGAGCCAGTTTCCCTCATTTGTTCTCCCTCTAGTTAGTCTTAGAAAACTTGTTGGAGTCAAGAGTAAGATTTGGAAGCATGTTAAGGAGAAAGCATGGATTGCCATTTACGAAGACTAAAAATAATATCAGCGTCCTCTTTCTGATAACTGGATCTAACAAACAGATTACACTTCCCCTAATTAATCATTTAAAGAGCATTTGAGCATGTGTATTTAGAGTCCTACATTGTAATGGTTAACAGATTGTGATTTAAGAGTTCCTGAGCCATATGTACTTAATACCACCATCCCAGATCACAAGCTCACTGAAAAGGGTTAAGTACACAAATGAAAAGGATTTGCTTTACTCAATGGGAAAAAAAGGACTTGCCCTATATTTATTGAGCACAAATATTGTTTATTAAAGATATTTAAAACCATTTATGTCCATTGCAAAATTTGTAAATGGCAAAATCACTAGCTTGCTAGTATTTTTTTTCTCATTAGTACTTTTTCACTCCTTTTGCCAGGGCTAACAGAAAAAAAGCAACTTTCTTGATATTTGGTATGATTTTATGTATTTTTAGTGATCTTCTCTCTATAATGGCTTATTTGTAAACTCATAGATATTATATGCCAGAAACACTGTTGTAGCCAAAAAAAATAAATAATAGAGATGATCTTCTAAAGTAGGGATTCTAGCTTATTTCAGGTGGCAAATAAATCAGATTTTACTAATGATGTTTAAGAATAGCAATATTCGTTTAGACAGTTGGATATATAAAGTGTCTATAATCAAATCAATCATGTAACTGATAGGACTACTAGTTCATACTCTTCTGCTGGACAGAAGTCAATTATCCCAAACCATGCCAGTGAATTTATGTGCTCAGTCAACCTTGGAAGTGATTTCCATAGTTCTTAACCAACCTGTCAGATGTTTGGGATGAAAATCATATCATAATGCCATAGAAGCACTGACTAGAAATAAAGCAGTGATCATTTGCCCTTGAGTAATATGCCAGTTTCTAACCAGCCTTAATTATTCACACACTCTTCTCTCAGTGAGTGCTCTAGGTGGCACTTCACCCAACTTTTAAAAATATCTCAAGGAGGTTTGGAACTTTCTGTTTTGCTAGAGAGAGATTTGGCTTAATTAAATATTTATCAACTCTCATTGGAGAGGATTTGTTGGATGCTTTTCTTTGCAATTTCTCAGTCAAGTATTAATGGCTTCTGTAAACTATTTCACTTAACTGAATTTACAATGGATTGTTCCCACCATTTGGAATGTACTAGTTTTGCATAATCTATTTGTAAGTGGTTGTTTCCAGTATTGCTTATGGTATCCGTGGGACTTGCTGTACAGCCTTTCATATATCAGGTTTGTAAAACAGTTGAATGAACTGTTCTTTGAAATTTTATTTTTTAAAAATTTTCTTATGAATACAACATAGAACTGGGAAACATATTTATTTGGTTATCTAATTTTTCTTTTGTTGTATTTGATGTCACTCCAGTTAAAATAAAACCATCTTTGTGGAAAGACAAGGCCGTTTCTTTGCATTTATTTGGTTAAATATTGCAGTACCTAAAAAGGTTTGCCATTTATATAAAGATCATTTTAAGTAGTTAGAATGGATGTCTCTATTTCCAAAAATTATCTATTCTACATGAAGGAAAACATCCTTTTCAGTGTGTGTAAATGGCATTCATTTATGCAGCCAAGTTGGAATCATTCTCCTGAAGCACAATCCATGCTCAAAGCACAGAACTAGATACTCTGAGCAGTTTTAAAGAAATCTAAATGCAGGGAGAGGGGAGGCGTGCCCAGATGGCTCATTCGGTAGAGTATGTGACTCTTGATCTCGGGTCATGAGTTCAAGGCCCATGTTGGATGTGGAGATTACTTAAATAAATAAATAAATCCTCTTAAAAACTTAAAGAAATCCAAATACAAATTAAATAATGATTGGTTTGGCCAAATAGGGCTAAAATTTTCAAATGTATATCAAGTACACAAAAGAAAAAACCTGGTATCAAAGATCCTATTAGGGCTCACTCCCCCTTGACTTGAGATAACTGAATTCCATAAACCAACTGGAGATATTGACTGTTTTGAGCACTGTGCTATGCCCCTGGGAGAAGTTACTGTGACATAAAATTAATATATTAAGTCTGATCAATAGTTGATAGAAATGTCAATAAAATAGCCAGTCAGTGTGACTATGTAAATAGTAAGAAAGTGCTTGAACGGTCGGGCAATACCTATCCTATTGATAAGAATACAGTGCTTTAGCTGAGCTGTCGTTATAAAATGTCTACGAAAAATGGTGAAACATAAATCATTTTTGCAGCAGTGAAGTTCTGAATAGGAAGGAGCTAACCATTGAAACAAAAGCAGTGGTTCCTAACCTAGAAACCAAGTCTGAAATGAAGTCTGAAATAGTCTGCCAACATGTTTGTACAGACACACTCATGTGTTTTTCTGGGATGATGGCCCCATAGCTTTCATTAAAATTTCAAAAAGGTCCTTGAAGCTCTCCTGCACGCTGCACACATACACACAAAGAACTTCTATCCCCAGGGTAACACTCCCTAGGGAACAGGAAAGGTTTTTTTAATTTCTCCACAGAGAAAAAGCACTACTATCATAAACATGCCTATAGAAATACCAGTAACTAGAAATTTTTCAATGTATCTAAATAAGTTCAGTGACTTCATTGAACATGATTATTTATAAGAAAACATGCAAGAGATTAAGAAACCATATTTATTTCTTCTTTGGTACAACCAGGGATGTTACCTCAAACCTTGAAAATAAATAACCTCATTAAAACTTATGAATGTCAGGATATTAAAATTCCTTCTTTGCTTCACATAGAAGAGCTCAAAACATTAATGGGTTTGGGATACAGTACAGTTCAACAAAAATCCAGGCTGACTACAAAAACCAACACGTGATGTAAGGAAATCATTGTGGACGGCTCCCGAGAGGACACACTGCCGGGCGTTTTAAGCACCAGTTCTAGTGACTACAGTGAGGTTTCTTCCTCACTGGTCTGATAATCCTCTGTACAACCGAAACAGTAATCTGAGAACAACATCTAAATAAAAAAGGAAAAGAACTACTCCAGCTAAGGAAAACCAAACAGTCGTCCTTCTTTATTGGCACAGCAGCCCACGACGGGTCACACATGTACAGCGCGCTAAAGTTCAACATCCCGGGAATAGGATTATAAATTTATTTAAAGGGAGGGTTTGGGGGTTTTGTTTTTGTCTTTATCTGATGACTCTCCTGTCTCCCCTCCAAGGGAAAAGCAAGAGAATTTATTGAATAGCACCATTGTTTTAAATTTGTCATCAAGACTTATGTAATAACGTTGACGGTAATGCATCGTTGTCTCTTGCCTCAGCTTCGGTGGTGTTTCTCCTCCATGCTCCTTTGCCAGGCATGGTTTATGCAGACAGCCACATGGCACTAAGCTTTTCACTGATCGGGACCTTTGATAAATGCCCGTTGCCCAGCCTGCAGGGTGCAGGAGGCTGGCTCGCAAAACCCAGGAGGGCCAGGAGGGCCCGGGGGGCCAGGTACCCCGGGAATTCCTGCCACCCCTGGGGGGCCTCGCTCGCCATCCCGGCCATTCCTCCCGTAGCTGGCAGGACCTGGTTCACCTGAAACATAAACAATTGCACATGTGAACAGGAGAACCCCGAAGGCTGTGAGCTGGCTGAAGGCCCCGGACTCCCTCCCCCAGCCCAGCTGGGTACACACAGGGCCTTAGTAAGTGCTTTTGGAAAGGATGGATGAAGATCAATGATGATGATGATGATGATAAAATTCCTTCGCTGGACTTGGGTTTCTTAGAAATTAAAAATGGAAGGAGGCCTCAGCATCTCCAGTACGGTAGCCTCTAACCACATGTCTATTGAGCACTGAAATGTGGCTAAGTCAAATTGGGATGAACTGTAAGAGTGTAAAACACACCTGGACTTTGAAAAATTAAAATATATTTCATTAATAATTTTTGTTCTTATTACATGATAAAATGATAATATTTTGGATGCAATGGGTTAAACTGTATTATTAAAATTAATTTCACCTGATTCTCTTGATGTTGATAATGTGGCTACTAGCAGATTTAAAATTATGCACACAAGTCTCCTTGTGGCTCACATTGTATTTCTCCAGTGGCGTCATCCCTAATAGGTGATCTGTCCCCAGACAGGGAGTACAAGTGTAGCTCAGTGGTTAGAAGCATAGGATTTAGAGACAGACAGCTCTAAGTTCCTGCTCTGCCATTTGTGAATAGGGAGACATTAGCAAGTCACTAAACGTTCAGTTTCTTCATCTCCAAGATGGGACGATACCTTCCTTAAAACTAAATTCCATGCCTGAAAGCATCTAATAAATAGGGGCTATTATGATTATGAGGATATCACTGATGGATGTCTTAGAAGCCTGTGCAATGCACCTACAAACTTCCCAGATGTTTTCTCATCAGGGGTTCACCCCTACGTGAATTGTGTCATGGGCTGAGTTCCTTGGGAGCATTTTCTCCCTTTGTCATGTTCCAAGGTTGTTTGGTCACCCCATGGTACTCTGAAGCAGAGTACCCCATAACAGAGAGGAATTTCTGCTGAATGTTTACGCACCCCATCATACCAGCAGTGTTTTCGCACTATTAGCGTAAAGATGGCAGGAAGAAACCAGTATGAGACAAATTGTATACGCCATGATGATATAGTTTATATCACAGAGATCCTCATTCCATCTCAGCCATCCTGCCTCGGCCATTCAGCCAGACGGTGAACATGTTCAGTTATGTATTTACTTAGATTTACTTTCCTTCTCTCTCAGTGATTTCAGTTTTCTTTTTCTATTTTCGTGGTCTTATTACACGTGTCTTTTATTGGTCTTTACTAGAGCGGTCTGGTCTTATTAAGTCGTCTTATTACATATATCTCACATATTTTCATTTATTTTAGATTTTATTTATTTATTTGACAGAGAGAGCATGAGCACAAGTAGGCAGAGCGGCAGGCAGAGGGAGAGGGAGAAGCAGGCTGTCTGCGGAGCGGGGAGCCCAACAGGGGACTGGATCTCAGGACCTGGGATCATGGCCTGAGCCGAAGGCAGACGCTAACAGACCGAGCCACCCAGGCGCCCTCTCACATACTTTTAAAAGGAAGATAGATTAGAGATCTTACTTTGTATGTAAGATCTCATTCTTCCTGTGATTCTCTCAATTAGATCCCCACACAGCAAAATAGAACAACATATTATTAAGTTTTAAGAGAATAATTATCTTTGATTCTATCCATCTCAAGGCTGTAGATAAGCAGAGATGTAATTTCCCCTAATGTATCCCATAAGCCTCCATTTAACTATATTAAGTTGTAGTGAAGCAGATGATTGTGTTTTCCTCTAAAGACCAGGCCCCTGCAAAAGTCTTTCCCTAATCAAGAGCACCTATAAATAAGCCTCTAGCAGCGCCTCTTCCGGTCTCCTGATACAAGCAGTTGTTCAAAGTTGCTCTTTTAAGGTTTAAAAGCTAGGCCAGATAAAGGGGTACATAAAGGGTAACTTTCATAACCTTAGGAGCAGCACTATTCCCATGGAGACATACCAGGTCTGCCTTCACAAAATCAAATCAAGATGAAGAGGAGAAAAATGCCCAAAGGAGAGGTCACAAGCCAAATGACCCCAGAGGCAAAGCGGGTAAGGCAGATTCGTGAACAGAGGGGAGCCTATGAGCCAACCCCTATTTTTGTAAATAGTTCTATTAGAACAGAGCCATGGCCGTTCACATGCATATTGCCAACAGCTGCTTTTTAAGGGCAGAGTTGTATAACCACCACGGAGCCCGCAGGGCACACAGATCCAAAAACTCCGGTCTTTTACAGAAAAAGTTTGCTGGCCCTTAAGGTAGTAAGGAAATGCCCTGCAGTCTTTACGAGAAGAAAACTGATATAATGAGAACTCCCCATCGGTGGTAGGGAGGCAACAGGGAGGACGGAGGCCTGGGGCAGCTCGGCTCCCTCCCGCCAACAGCTACGACGAGTGAAGATGCACCGGAGCCTGCAGAACCTCTGCTAATTGTCAAGGAAAGTTAGAAGCTGCATTCTTGAATAGGTCTCTCCGTTTCTACATGTTACCAACTAATTCAAATTTTTATTGAACATTTGTACAGCCAGCCTCCTGCCTAAAACCTTAAACTTAAGGGAATTTATTCTCTACTACACAACAATATTAGAAAGCAGAAGGAAAGGGGTACCTGGGTGGCTCAGTCGTTTTTGTCTGCCTTCAGCTCAGGTCATGGTCCCAGGGTCCTGGGATCGAGTCCTGCATCGGGCTCCCTGCTCAGCGGGAAGCCTGCTTCTCCCTCTCCCTCTGCTGCCTCTCTGCCTACTTGTGCGCTCTCTCTGTCAAATAAGTAAAATCTTTAAACAATTTTTTTTTTTTTTTTTTTTTTTTTTTTTTTTTTTACTTTATCTGGGACGTCTGGGTGGCTCAGTCGTAAAGCGTCTGCCTTCGGGTCAGGTCCCTTCCCCGCTACTCTAACCCAGCCGTATTTCCATACCCACTGAGGAGCTAATTCTGCCGAGGTGTGTGCGCGATTGCACGTGCGCGGGCCAGCATGTGTGGGTGGGAGGGTGTCTTGTTTAATTCTTTGCACCTGAATTGACTAGGGAGTAAAAAGAGGCACAATAACCAAGAGTAGTACTGGTTCTTCTGGAGCTCTATCATAAGAAACTAAAGATATTTTTTCTGAGGTTTTGTCCTGTAGGAATGACCAGAGGAAAAAAAAAAACAGCCTTCAAATAACAGATCATCATCAATTTCTGGTGAGTCCGCACCCTGGGCATTTACTCTCAAATGTTACTGTTTAGGATGTAATTTTAGGGTGACACTATGTCACAGTCCAAGTCACTGAAGAAGTCCAGCTGTTGCCTTAGCGAGTATCTATAAACTACCCTCCAACTCTTCAGAAGAAAACAGATCTGAAGTGTTTTAATTCTGCTTTGTCTGCCTCGTGGGTCTGTTAGCTGCACTAACTAGCTAATGATTACACAGTTTTCTGAAATTTCAAGGACCTAGAAAAACGTTACGGCCAAATATTTCGTTATTTTTTAAAATGAATGTCTATGTCATTCTCTGTGCGAACACTAGAGGGTAGTCATGTTACATTGATGGAGACCAGTCCCCGCTGGAACATTCTGAAGGATCGAATAACATGCCACAGAGTGAAAGGGACTGTGTATAAAGGCCTTAAAAAAAAGGCTGAAAGTAATTTTCAGCATTAATTTGGTGATTTATCCACGGGTTATGTAAAATGTTTGTATGTTCCAGGGACATCCTTACATTTCTCACCTTATGCAGAGCTTACTTTTGTGGTGTTTGACAAAGCGTATTTTTAAGGAATTGGCATAAAGCCGTTTGTTTATGTAAGATCCCCATAGCCAAATAAAATAGCTGCAGTGATGGAAATAGGATAAATGGCTACTGCTAAACCAGCCTAAACTGAGTGTGCCCTTGGTTTGGGGCTTATTGGGGTTTTTCCACTCAATATTCACAAGCAAAGCTCACCTCTGTGCAAATTTTGCATAAGAAACCTAAATAGCCCAGTCGCCTAGTGTGACCCTGCACAAAGCCAGCTCTACCCTTCTCTCCTCGTCCAAGAAGGGAAAGTGTGTCAGTTCACAAGCCACTGTCCTGGTGGTCACATACATATGAGTCCTTATTGAACTGGCTTCTTCCCCTCATGAGTTTGCACAGTGGAGATCAGGACCTGTTATTAAATATGTTTCCTTAAAATTCTCAGAGCGTCAAGGAATGGTCCCAAGTAGGCAAGTTAAGTGGCAGCAGGGCATAGGGATTTACCCTTAATGAGACAACCCAATCAAGCAATACCACCAAAGGCCTGTGGGAAGAAACCGAAGGTGGGGGTGGAGGGTTGAGGGCATCTAAAGTCCCAGGGATCTCTAATGTGATCCACTCTGCTCTGTGAGAGAGACCAAAAGGAATCAAGACACTAAGTGGTTATGGGACTTGCTGAAGTTATATGGCTAGAGTGGTGGAGACAAACGAATCACATTACTAGACAGCCAGCTCAACATTTTGTCTACTACATGAACCTGGACCTAGAAAGTACGAATATTTGCCTCTGTCACTTATTACCTGAGAGACCTTTGTTAGAGCAGGTGAACTTTGTAAGTCTGTATTTCCTCAAACATAAACAGAGGAATACAAAATAATAGCTAAGTTTGCAGCATGCCGGCCATATGCCAGGCACTGTTCTAAGTGTTTCACATGTATTAACATGTACATAGATCCTCCTAAATAACTCTAGAAGGTACATGTGGCTATTAACCTTGTGATATGGAAGAGAAACCGAAGTGCTAGGAGGTGAAGCAGCTGCAAGTAAGTGACAGCCGTGTATGCACCCTGGAAGCTTGGCTCCAGAGTCCATCCTTCCTAAATACATATTCTGCCTCCCTCTGGCCGTGGGAAACAGACTGGAGGATTCATGGGTACATTTTAGACAACAGAGCACTTCAGCCAAAATGATAGCGTGGCGGTTATAATAATGATCTATGGTCCATAGGAAGCAATGTACCATTACAGCCCCAAAGGGCCGCATAATACTTAACACTGAACAGTGAGATACGATATGGAGAGGAGACAAAGAACTAAGACCGTCCATGAAGAGCAAAGGAATTCTAATAACTGATAATTAATGTATTAGTTACATTTTTTTTCCAAATATATCAGATGTGTTTGCATCAGGAAGAATGATCAAATGAACTTCTTTTTTCACACAGGAGGATTTAAGTACTGAATCCAAGTCCCAATTAAGGGACAAGGAAGGTTGCGGGATGTCCTGTTCTGCACGATGTTTCTTTTAGGTACCAGACAAGTCCCTGCACCGAGTGCTACTGGAAGTTCCTCCAGGCCCTGAAGTCCTATTACTGTTATGTTTGTGAGAGACCAGAAATCACATTCCAGGCTCTGCCAGGGAAATTAAAAAGCCCAGCCTCTCAGTGGACAGTGAACTCGTTCAATAATTTACTGTGAACCAGTACTTTGCATTTATGGTTTGGAGCCGGAAGTCACCCAATGTCATAGAGCTAGTAAGTGACAGAGTCAAAATTTGAACCCAGGATGTTTGAACTGTGGAGCTCCCAAATAGCCCACTTTCCCAGTACTAGCTTAAGGGGAGGAATGACCCAAAAAGCTCTTGTTTGGGGACTGATGGATTTGAGAAATTGTTAGCTAAGCATATTCATAGTGTAGATGAGAGAATGTGAGCTGACCTGAAAACCAAAGTACCCAGCCGGCGCCTAGGGACTGGGGGAAACATAAACCCTTTGTGCCAGTGCGCAAAAGCACTTGCAAAACTGCATGCTTTTGAAAGGTAGCCCAAACTTTTAAAATATAATCTGAAACTCAGATTTCCCACTAAATAATGTCAGTATCCTTTCGAGGGAAATATAACAAAAGCATAGACCAAGAAGACCAGATTTCGGAGCAGTACCAGGAAGCAAGGGACAGGGACTGGCAAAAGGTAGAAAGGAAAAGGCAAAGGGCAGGGGCAGCAGTCCTGAAATAGCCCATAGATGTTTTTAACAAATCATATTTAAGTATTAAATCCAAGACCAGCTCTAACAAGTTAATTTTTTCATAAGGGAGACAAGTGAGGACCAGGCAAAGCTGCCAGTGATGAGCTCATCCCGCCTTAACCACTGTGCCCACACGCAAATGTCTGATGTACTAAAAAGCAAATCAGGGAAGCCCCTTTTTGGGAGAGCAATGGCCCAAGAGCACACGTAAAGCCCTCCCAGTCAGAGTCAGCAAATCTGAGTGGGTTACTGCATGTGGGGAATAACATGTCCCCTCACAACAGCCTGGGACACCTGCACTTACAGAGCTGGGTCTGCCTCAGTCTTCCCATTTGAAACCCAAAACATGGTTTATCAACAGAGTTTTTGAAACTAAGAGTCATCAGAAATGATAATATATTTCTGATAAAGGAAAATCTTGCCAAGAATGCAAGTTGCTGGTCTGAGAACTGTTACGTGATTTGTCAACAAAATAGGAGAAGGAGAACTTGTAAGGCAATCCTACAATATACAGATAAGTAAATTGTAATGGTATTTTTATCAACTTTAAACCACCTATTGCTACCACTGATAAAGGAGGAAAGCACTCAGTAAATTCTATTTCCCTCTCCTCTTCTAAACATCCATCAATGAATGTAGACTTTATCATACACTGAAATCTTCTCTTGGTCCCATGTAGCTTCAACCAGATTTTCTTTCCTTTTCCAATCATAAAAACTTCCTTTCCCAATCACGAAAATTTATCAAGTTGTGAAAGCATCTTGACAGACCCATGAATCACAGCTTTAGCAAAGCAGTGTTTGAGCCATCTCCAAATGTATTCGTATTTAAAAAAAATTTAATGAGAAAGCAATTCCCAGGAACAATGAAATGGATAATGAGAAAGCAGTGTTTTTGGCTGCAATTAAGAGTCATGATTGAATAGGTAAGCCTCTGTCAGAATTAGAAAATGAGCATTTCTTTTTATAAATTTCCCTACATCAAGTTTTCCAAATCCACTATGGAAGCATGGACCACCCTTTCTCTGCAGAACCCCTCCCCCCTGACTCTCCTCAGCTCCAGGGTTGGGAGCCTTCCTTAGCCACTGCCCTGGCAGCTGTAAGGGTTCGCTGGGAAGCTGCATATCATTCATGCCCTCAAACCCAACTGACTTTCCACCCTGCTCTGTTGCTTCTGGGGTTGGGCTGGTAGGTCATTTCCCAGCAGATGAGTGGGTGGCAGCTTGAGCTGAGGGGACAGAGTAGCCAGTATGTAAAGAGAGAACAGACGCCCAGTGAACAAATCCAGGCTCTTCGCACAGAGGCAACTTTGTCGCCTCAGCCAACACAGCTGTGATACGTGGCTTGTGCATGGTTCTCTGTGGTTATATGAATAAGAATGTTCAGGTTTATTTTATTTATTTTTGGTTTTGGGTTTCTGGAGGGTCTGGATATTTGAAACAGGAGCTTTTAAAATAAGATTTCAGGGCGCCTGGGTGGCTCAGTTGGTTAAGCGACTGCCTTCGGCTCAGGTCATGATCCTGGAGTCCCGGGATCCAGTCCCACATCAGACTCCCTGCTCAGCGGGGAGTCTGCTTCTCCCTCTGACCCTCCCCCCTCTCATGTGTGCTCTCTCTCTCTCTCTCTCATTCTCTCTCTCAAATAAATTAAAAATTAAAAAAAAAAGATTTCAGTTACTCCCTATGCAACATGAGTAGTTGGAAAACTTGGATTTTCTTGTTGCTCTTTCTGGTTAAAAATAAACAAAACTATCACCAAGGCTAACAATGGATAGGATCTCATTCATTCAGAATTTTCTAATGAGTGCATTGTGGCTGGACCTTGACACGATTTTTTTAAATCCTCTATTCAAGAAATTAATATTTTAAGCCCTGATACTTGTTTTCTCATGAGGAACACAGGCATCATTTACAAATCATTTGACTCGTCATTAAAGTTGGTCTTGAAAAATCTGTGTCAGCCATTATTGTTACAGGCTTAAGTAATCAAAGAGCAAGTCTTTAAAATGGTATCCAATTCAGACTGCCCACTTGCTACCAATTTCTCAACCCCATGCTGCCATATAACACACTTACCTGGGAGACCTGTAGCTCCAGGCAATCCCTTAGGACCTCTTCCTGGAGGGCCACGTTCCCCCCTTTCTCCCAAGTCACCTGTATTCCATTAGAGAAATGTTATTTTTCTGTATGTCTATTAAAAGAAAGTTCCATATTTTTAAACTTTAAGCAAACCCAGCACTGAGAAAGCAAAAGGTCATGAAGTTGCCACAAACTAGGTTGTAGTAAATATGTAGCAAGGCAAAACTTAAGTCAGTTATATGAAGAGATCTAAGGGGAAAAAAATCTAATAATCATATTCATCAAATGATAAATTAAATCAAATATCAAGTGATCAACATTCAGTAAAATAAGAATCAAAAGCTACCTCCTTAACGTGATAAAATATATCTACCTCAACCCAAGAGTTAGCATAATGCTGAATGGGAAACACGAGAAGCAGTTCCACTACCCATAGAACATCACAGAGATGCCCACTTTATCACTAGTATTTGTCATTTGGTTTGAGAGTCGAAAACATCCCTCTTTTTAAGTTGTATCAGTGTATATCTTAAATCCTTGAAAAGCAACTCAAAACTCAAAACTCAAAAAGCAACAAGCAATGACAGAATTCAGTAAAGTAGCAAGATACAAAATTAATATATGAAAAGCAGTAGTTTTCATATATACAAACAACCACCAAAACTAAGATGTAGTGAAAAAATATCCCATTTATAATAGCAATTAAATTAATAACAAGGAATAAGTTTAATCAGAAATATGCAAATCCAACATTAAAAAAATAACATTTCTAAAGGATACAAAAGGACTTGACAACTGTTCTTAGGTGGAATGACATCATCACACAAAGGTGTGAGTTCTCCCTAAACTGAAGTTTCATCATGATCCCAATAAAAAGATTTTTTTTAATGGAAAAGGGATTCTGAAGTTTCTACAGAAAAATGCATAAACCAGAGTAGTCACAAAAACTCCAAAAAGAAAAGCTACATGAAGGGAATTAATCCTACCGCATATTAAACCAATTAAAATGGGGTGGTACTGGTACATGAACAGATAGACCAGTGAAACAGCCCCAAAACAGGCTCCGATACCTACAGGATTTTGTTTTGTAATATATGTGCCATCTTAAAGTGGGAAGTAGTCGAACAAGTCAATAAATGGTGTTGGAAAAAGTAGGTAGCCAGCTGGAAAAAAAAGTAAAGTTGAATCTGTTCCTCACAACATAATCCAGGATACATTACAAGTGGATCAAATATTTAAATGAAATTTAAGAATCAAGAAAACAAGGGAGAATTATTTTATAACTTCAGATTTAAGTTGGCCTTTCTGCTGTGATTCAAAATACGAAGAAAAGTTCCTAAAATCAATACAAAAAGGTCAACAACAATAAAAAAATATAAGCAAGAAAGTCACTAAAAGGAAACAAAAATAGATCTGAGATATATGAAAAATTCCTTCACTCTTACATCAAAATACATGGAAATTAAAAAATAACATGAAAGCTACTTTGAACTATAAGATCGGCAAAAATTCCAAAGTTGAATCAAACCTATGCCTGCAGGTCTGTGGAAAAACACATTATTACATATTGCTAATAAGACTACAAATTGGGACAGTCTCTTGGAGGATAATTTAACAGTGTCTATCAAAATTACAAATGGTAGTACCATTTTACCTGGCAATTCCACTTCCAGGAATTTATCACAGAAAGAGGTTATGTTGATATTTACACAAGAATGAAATAGACAGTGTTGTCCACGGCAGCCTTGCCATAATGGCAGAAGACTGAACACTAAATGTCCACGAGACGGTTAAATGCATTATGCTATTTCCGCAGAATGGCATACTATGCAACTATGAAGATGAACCAGGAAGCTCTTCGAAACGATCTCAAGACCTATTGTTCAGTGAAAAAAATGCAAGGTCCAGATCATTACTAAAGGGCAACACGACTTGTTTCTAAAAGGCTGTAGGGAATGTATGTAACCATATATTGTACCTCATCACTGGTAAAGATACGTAGGAAACTCATAAAAGGGATTACCTAATGGGAAGGATAAAGGAATCTAGGCAGATAGGAGACCGCGGTGGTGGGAGAAAAACTCTTCACTAAATCTCTTTTTGTATATTTTTAAATTCTCAAACACTAAATCTAGTGTCACTGAAAGTAAATTAATGAATTTTCAAAATTTAAAATGTGCTATCACAAGTGCCTACATTTCACTTGTGATTCATTATTTACAGGGACTGTGCTTTGGATTACAACCAACCATGTGCATTTGCAAGACAGTTGATTGAATTTGGGATTCAGCAGCCACAGAACCAAGTTTCATTAATTATCCTGGCTCCTGCAGAGAAACCCAGAAACTTGGCCTCATTAACAAAGTACCCTAATACCTAGTCAACTGCTCCTAGATGACATTTATGGCTCCTAGTAGAAGGCATTATTCTACTATCTCATTGGTATAGTATTATGTTATTATCCTACTACTCTTTTAGAAGATCCAGTGGCAATTTGCAACAGATTCTATACATAATCATTTTTTCCAAACATTTGTATCAGCCCAACTTTATTCAATATTAAGTCGTTTGTTATAATTTAAAAAACAAAAGCATGCATGCCAAAATAGCAAAAAAAAACTCTATGAAGTGAATGTTTAAATAGCCACCGTACTTTGATGTTAGCTGTGAATGCCTTGTATGAATATTTTTATCATGAATCAACTATATTTTAAAAACAATTTTAAAATTATATAAATACTGCATAAGGATATAGAACTCAAGTTGAACTCATACTCACATAAGCTGTTTTTTTTATACTCCTCATCAATATGGCCTTACTATATTAGGAAGATATGATAATTAGCATTTTAAAAACTAACAACTTAAGCGCTCTTGTTAACTTAGCAATTTAAATGTCATATCCCTGTAACTCTGGAGGCTAGCAATGAGAAGAGAACCAATAAATGTGCCACATTTTCCAAAGGTAGGAGATGAAGATTATAAATTGAAATGTAACTTTCACGCAGACAGTGAAAGTTAAACACCTTCTGGCATGAAGCCACATCCCCTTTAAAATGTCGCTTGCAAGGAAGAAGACTGCCGTCTTGGTGCTGATGCTGCCCTGTGGCTGTCGGTCGAAGAAACACAATTTTTAGGTGGGCTCCAGGACAGAGGCACGCGGCAGCAGACAGAGCTGCGGCCGGGCTCTGGCCTCCCCAGGGTCCATCCGCTTCTTCAAACCCTGATCATGTCTCCTTTTGACATGTCTGAAAACTGGCTCAGGGAACTAAAGTCCACCTTTATTCACTAGCCTACTGTGTGGAAAAATAGAGCGAGCTTGTAAAATGAGCTTTAGATAAGGTAAAAAGGGAAATGTGCTACGTAAGTAGCAAAACAGCTCCCTCTGAACGGAGTGGCTAAAACGAAAGAAATTCTCATTGCTCCGTAGTTGCTGTTTATGTCATTTATTTGAAAGTTATAACTGATACTCCGATCCCATGCAAGCAGATTAATACGGAAAAAAAGTGTTACAGTAATGACGTGTATTTTCTCATGCCGTCACTTACATAGCGACACATCTGTCTGACTCACACTAAAGTATCAAAAAATTGATATATAGCCTTGCTCAAAGGGATTTAAAATTAATCCAAACCATGAACACTTAAAAATAGTATTTATGACACAAAAGACTAATACTAAACAAAGTGAACATAAAGCCAATTAGATATCTCTCATGTTTCTGCTTGAGGATACATATAAAATGTACATACGGCATGGGTCTTGGCCCTGTTTGTATAATATTGCACAGGACATGTCAATGAAAAACAAAAAAAAATTATAAATATGATTTAAGATTTGAGTATGATTTCTGGCATACTACTAACTCCTATTGAAAATGTTTCACTTGTGTTTTGCAGACCAGTTTTTTAGGGAAAAAAATGATTTTATTAAAGACATAGTTTGAACTGCTAAAAGCTTTAGTAAAATTATTTGTTCATTACTTATGTAGTAATTTCCTTGGGAAAAGACTCTTAAAGTAGTATGGTGAGCAAGACTCAGACTACCCCTTTATTAGGCATAGGAAAAAGGCAACAGATGACACTGAAATACATCTCTTCTCGAATTGGCTGAACATTTAAGTTTCAAATGCTGGAGTATTTGTTCTCCAGGAAGAACTGATCTGTAACCTTTGGCGAGTGGGACATTATATTGTTTTCAATTAAATATTACAGTTATAATGTATGTGGTAGAACAAGAAAGGTCAAGTCCGGTTACCTGGAATCATAAATTTCCAAATTTGTGACAGCACTGATTTAAATGCGAGGATAGTACTCCTTTCTTCCCACACCCCAAATTTCAAGAAGTGTTTAAAACAGAAAATGCTGCTTTAAAGGAACCCAGTGATAATAAAGGGATGGAGGAGAGTGGGCAGAAAAAGTCCTTTAGAGAAAAGAAAAAGACTATATCTCTTCTAGATCATGGACTATGTCATAAATACTGAAGAAGCATTGGGGGAAGTCCCTTATACAATCAAACTATGCTTGATGAATAAACTCTGTGCCAGGGGCATTTTCCGGGTTCCAAATACAGAAATATATTTTTCTTCCCTTCAAAATAAGGTTCATCTGCCAGAGCCAAGTCAGCCCAACACAACCACTGAAAATTCAGTGCTGCTAGGAGCTTCCCAGGAAGCTTCCTGAACATTTCACCTTTGTTTCCTGTTGTTCACAACCCTGGTTGTATATTAAAATCACATGGGGAATGTTTTTAAATCCTGCTGCTCAGACCTATTAAGTCAGAATCTCTGGGAATGGGATCCAGCCGTGGACAGTGTTTAAAGCTCCCCAGATGATTCCACAGTGCACCCCAGGCTGAGAAACGCAGCTTTAGGCAGGCTCTACCAGCATAGCAAGTAGACATCGACATTCTTACTTCTTAGAACATGAAATGGGACTTCAGGCGAGTTCTCTTACTAACTCAAAGTTAAGTTCTACCCCATGTATGGAGACTTCCTTTTAGCCAAAGAAAACAGAGGGCTGTGATTTCTATAGCCCCTGCGAGGTGTTCCTTTTCAGCAGGAAAATGGGTGACTGCTTTACATGGTGCATTTAGCAGCATCAGATTCATGTGGAGGCTTGTTAGAACACAGACTGCTGGGCCCCACCTGCAGAGTCTCGGATCAGAGGGACTGGAGTGGGCTGGGGAATCTGTATTCCATACAGGGTCCCTGGTGGTGCTGACGCTCCAGGCTCCAGGTACTGGCTGTCTCAGAACCACTGGTCTAAAGGGAACTAACTAGAAGGACTGAGGAGTCACGGTGGGCTCTGGTGCCACAGAAACAAGGATGTCAATAATCCACTTGAGGCAGCAGAGTTTCTTGAAATTGTGAACAGAATGAATGGGGACTAAGCACAGAGGCAGGACCTACTCGTGAGTTCCTGAACCAGTAGCTAAAAGCAGGACAAAGATGGGTGGTGATGTGATTCTTTCAAAGAAAATACTCGGTTCTCTTTAAGATGAGCTCTGAGCTCTCTCCATATTTGATTTGGTCCAGCCTCTGAGAGCTTGGAATTTGGGCCAGCCTCACAAGAGGCTCCAATTAGGGCTCATTTTTTCACATACAGCAATGCACATGCCAAAAAAAACAAAAAACAAATATAATTAACAAAATTGTTTCAGCTGAAAGTGAAGTTAGCCAAATACATCAGCAATTCATTTATAGATCCAAAATGGCAGCTTGCTTGCCCTCTGACCCTTCACCCAAAATATTTATCCCTAATTGGAGCACCACCATTAAAAAAAAAAAAAAAAAAAAACTTGTTTCTGAAGCCCCACGTCTTTCTGAAGCTCCCTGGAGAACTGTCAGTCACTCGCCAAGATACAGAAATTCCTCATTGTGTTTAGTGCTCTCTGTAAATGATCCAGGACACCCACCCACCCCACGCTGACATACTCACCTCAACTAGTAAACACCATCTGAGGCAACCAGTCCTTCCACAGGGCCTGCTGAATACCTAACACACTCACAACACTTTTTTTTTTTTTTTGGCAAAACGCTTGCTTTCAATAAAAGGGGAAGAAAACAAACTTTCTCACATTCCCTCACATGTTAAAGAAGGAAAAAAGTTCAATTGTACTTCTGAGCTGAAAAAAATCCATCAAAACTAAATATCCAATGTCACTTATTCAAAGAAGAGGGAGGCAGCCTCAATTCATGTAATTTATGTCTCTGACCTGCTAACAAATGCTGTTAGTTTAAGGAACGGATACAAACGTTCTAAGGCTGGCTGCCATCTTAGAAGAGCTCCACAGTGATTTTCGAGTCTCAAAAAAAAAGGTTGAATGATCCTTTACGAGATCCTGTAAAGTTTATTTTGAACTATGACTGAGGCAGAGGGTAACTGGAAAAGACCATAACTGAAAATCAAGGGACCTTATTTCTAGGTTTTGGTCTCCTGTTGCCACACAGCAAGGTCAAGAGGATGTCGTATAATAGGTTTTCAATCTTTCCCATCATCACGGTACAAGAGAATGATACGTCTCCTTGTCTCAAAGGATATCTGGAGCTTGGCAGGCTGTGTGGATACATCTGAAAAAGGATGGGCAAAATGGCTTACCTTTAGGCCCCCTCAAACCGAGAGCACCAGGGGGGCCTTTAATGCCTGGGAGGCCACGAAGTCCCATCTGGCCTGGGAACCCATTCTCTCCAGGTGGTCCCGGGGGACCGGGGGGTCCAGGCCTCCCAGGGAGGCCAGACGCCCCTGAGTCTGGTCGCTTGAGACTAGCAGCCATCTCAGCAAGATGCTCTAAAAGATAATAAACAAAACAGCCCAGAGAAGTCAGAAACATGAAAGTGATTCAAATGAAAAAAAAAAAAAAGGGGGGTATTTCAAGTGTCTTTTTTTTCTAAATGTGTCACCAGAGCTTCAAAATTGGTGGTGGGAAGTGAAAAGTGAATAGAGTTAGATCATCTTTCCATGGACTTTCTGCCAAGAAGCTTCCCTGGTGCTGTTTTATTCAGCTCTTTTTGGATATATTGGTCCTGCTGTTCTGAGACAAGGGCAGGGGGATAACACACACACACAGCAAAGCTTTCAGGTGAGTACTGTTCTAAAAGGATGAGTCTGTCACCTGAGTCCCAGCTGGTTATCTGAAAACCCAGGACAGGAAGAAAACGAGTTTCTTAACAGAGGGAGAAGTGGATGTCCCGAAGCTTTTGAAAAGCCAAGGACATTGTCCAGAATTAGTAATGAGAGAGCATCTGAGGCCTAGCGCCACATTTTCAGTCTGAAGATATTAAGTGACAGTGACCTAAAATATCCTGAGCATTCACGACTTCTTATAAATTCCCCTCTCAAAAGTTTTTTCATGCTTGGAATAGACAACAGACATTAAAAATAGCCTGCTTCTTGGGAATGTTCAGTCTGTCTTAAAAATTAATAACTGTGTGGGCTTTTTCAGGAACCATTAAATAGATTAAGAATCATCCACTGAAACCATGAAGAGCAAGAAAACTTTCCTATGGAAATACTCTAAGGGAAATATGCCAGTGTAATATTTTTTAAAGGTGTGAAGGAGATTATGAATTGGAAACAAATTTCTAATGAACATTTTAAAATTGTTTAAATGTGAGCATTCTAGTTTGCCTTATGCAAGAGTTAGCATAACATTATAATTTTCTAGGGATATAACGTTTAAAATTGAAATATCCTTTCAAGATTAAATGTCTGCCATAAAGAGACTTATATTGGCTTTCAAATATAGAAGTGACAATTTCATTCTGAAAAACTCTACAAGTCTACCAGACAAATTAGACTATCTTATGAGCTTGCAAAAGAAGAGTATTTATCATGACGGAATTGGTTCCAACTAGAATAAGGTAATTATTTGTTAGAAGGCTCCAAAGTTACAGGATCTCCCCAGTTCCTGTCTCCCCAATTTCTTCCCTTTCTATGTGATTTTAGAACTAGACCAATTCTAAAACAGCTATATAGCAATTGCTATAGCTAATGAATTTAGATAAAGGCGAACAAATGTAAAAATATATCACCATTTTGGTAAAATACTAGTTATTGGTTTTCTACATACATGATACATGAGTAGAGATAATGTCCTTATGCTTCTTATGGGCATGAAGACCGTCAGTTACTTCACATATAAGCTACAGAGAGAGCCGGGGTCAGTGCCAGGGACACACTAAGTGGTAGGATGTTAAGCCGGGGTCAGTGCCAGGGACACACTAAGTGGTAGGATGTTAAGCTGGGGTCAGTGCCAGGGACACACTAAGTGGTAGGATGTTAAGGAGAGGAAAGATACCTGAGAATCTGTGTTCCAAAGGGGGGGGGAGCTTGTGTGTGTTTGTGTGTGTGCTTTCTTGTAAATTAACCTCCTTGGCAAAAAACAAAACCAAGAACAAAAATAGGCTAAGCCAGGGGCGCCTGGGTGGCTCAGATGGTTAAGCGTCTGACTCTTGGTTTTGGCTCAGGTTGTGATCTCAGAGTTGTGATCTCAGGATCATGAGATGAACGCCGTGCTGAGCTCCCTGCTTAAGACTTTCTCTCCCTTTCCCCCTGCCCCTTTCCCCCACTGGCTCGTTTGCTCACTCTCTTTCTCTCTCTCTAAAATAAATAAATCTTTTTAAAAAAATGGGCTAACCTAGAAAGATAAAAATTTTCTTTGCGGCTATAAGCTATTCTGTGGCAAAAAAATTAGATAAAACAATTAATATAATATTATTCAAAATCTCCCACCTTTAAAGCACACCAAAAGTCAAGACATTATGATTTATTTACCTTGCATGACTCTCATGCAAACCTGCTTAATGTGCTGATCTGTTGGTGCTCTACCCTGAGACAGGGGGAAAAAAAAAGATGGTTTATACACAGAACCATAAAGAAGACGTTGTTAAATGGTAACCTGACAGACTCAGCAAGTGGCCAGGTGGCTGGATTTACAGGAGAACTCTCCCATACTGCTGAGGAGCTGGTGTCTGGGCTCGCCTGGCTCCCGGCCACCCTGCTGGGGCTGTGAGCTGGAGTCTCCAAAGGGAAACCGCGGGGACTGTCCACCACTCACTGGAGGGCCCTGGATGCCAGGCAGGCCGGTGGCACCCTGCTCTCCCTGCACGCCTTGTGGTCCAGGGGGTCCTCTTGGGCCTTCCACGCCAGGAAGCCCCCGACTTCCTTCGGGCCCCCTCAAGCCGGGCTCCCCAGGGTTACCCACCTAGAACAAAATGGCACATTATAAAACCAGGGCTATCCACAAGTATTTATCTGCTTAATATTAATACAAGACTTACATGAAATTTGGGGTTTGCTTACATTCTGTCTCCCAAGAGATGTTTGTTGAGAGGTTACAAATTCTCAAGGTAAAGACACAGAATGCCACAGTCTCTGAGAATTCCAGTTCAAGTAAAGTTTTTCAAAATCTTTCTTTTTGGTATAGTTATTATTTCAAAATGTTTATTGAAATAATGCATTTTTAAACTGCATTCTTTATACTTTAAGCCACTTCCTAAGAACAAGTTCATTTTTAATAAGGCTTGTGAACTTTTTCTGGCCACAAAAAGGCTACTGAGTTCATACAAGACATGTTACTTTGTATATCACCAATACAGAAAGCATAAAATAAAGATATTTCCAAGGACATAAGTTATTTAGCTTTATAACACTCAGGAGAATTTGAAGAAGCACATGTATCTAGGAATTATAAAATACATTTTATAACATTAACTAAATACATTTAAAATGTCACATTTAAAATGCTGCAGTTAAAATGAATACATTTAAAATACTGGAACAAAAAGAGTGAGTCCATAATTTATCTAAGTCTTGAGGAAGTTAAAAATCTAAATATTAAAGAAGTTAAAAAAAATAAACCAACTGTTTCCTTAGCAAAAAAGCATATACCAGATTTTTTTTCCCTGAAAGCAGACCACTAAAAACATTTTTAAAAGTCTCCATCTACAATAACTGCTTTAAAACAAAGCTAAATTAATTCACTTTCGGTTAAACTACCTCTGGTAGAATTTATGGCATAGTGGTTACAATGTGCCATTGTTTATAGAACAAGAATGAGAAGATAAAAGGACAGAAGGCAATAAGGGAGTGCTAGGGCTCAAAATGAAGTTCATGACACGACTTAACCCTGCTTCTTTTTCATATGCAACATTTATCTAGAAACAAACTGAGGGTTCTACAGGGGATGGGTTGACCCGGTGATGGGTACTGAAGAGGGCACGTTCTGCAAGGAGCACTGGGTGTTATAGCAAACAATGAATCATGGAACACTACATCAGAAACTAATGATGTGATGTATGGTGATTAACATAACATAATAAAAAAAAGAATTAACTCTTTCAAATGGTCAGATGTTTTAAGCTGAAGGGAAGAAGGTGATAAGGCAGGGCTTTCACTAGATGCCTCTGAATAAAGCTCAGCACCTATACCTTTTCCAATCTTTCTTTATGCAAAAAAGTTGATACTCATCTAAGTCAACTTGTCAAAATTGCTTCTATGAAGAAATTATGGCCTAAAAGACTTCCTGAAAGACAATGTCAACAGAGAGAGCTAAGGATGTGCTGTGGAGGGTTCGGAGCTGTCAGATGACTACAGTATAAAACTACAGCAACTTCTAAAACAACCCTGAGGAGACGCCAAAATGAATTTGGAAGTGCACTAAAGAACTGGCAGAAAACAAAGGAGGCCAAATCAGAGTCTATCATCTTGTTGACAACGTCTGAAATACTGCTACAACATGGGACAGGACATTTCCGATGAAGGGATGAAGGGCCAACACGGCCCAGATAGCTCAAGGGCCCCGGGGCCCTGGAAAGAATTCCTCAATTGAGTGGTATACTGAAGTAGAAGCTGGAGGTACAGACTTCACCTACTTATCAGCTTTGTCTCTGCTGAGATCACCGAGCAAAGTAAAAGTGTGTCTCCTTGACTCTGGGACAACACACCTCAGCTGCATCAGAATTAGGTGGGTGGTGGCAGAGAAGAGAGAGGGGTAGGAAGGGGAGGTGATAAATCAAGAGTTAATTCCTAGTAATATACCCAAATTTAAATGAAATTAACTCATTTCGACCACTGCATTGTTCATTCACATTTTCCTTTTACAACAAATCCTAATTACCATTGAACATTACCGCTTATTTCTAGATAGTGAGGTAGGATTTCTATTATCAAATCCTATCAAGGTTCACTCTTCACATTTTTTTCTCAATCCTAAACCATTTCTGTCAAAGATTCTTAGGTGTAAAGATGTTACTTAAAGCTTGAGACTGTCAACGGTGTTTGGAGAGTGTGTGTAAACAGGTGAGTTAATACAACGTAATAGTTCCCATCTCAGGGGCATGTAAAGAGCCCAGGGCTGGCACTGCAACCGAGTCTGGGGGGGGGGGGGGGGGGGTGTTCTCCAGGGGGAAAGTTGAGCTAAGGATCGGGCTACATGCCTAAGTAGGAGGTAGCTCTTCTAAGGAAAGAGGAAGAGTGTTCCAGGCGAGGAGAACAGCACAAGGGATTAAATAGCATGCCAAGTAAAAACAATCACAAACAGATGAAGTTCCAGATAGCTAGCTAGAGACCACTTCATCAAAGACTTTATATATTTTGCTAAGAGTCTGATTTTATTCTATCAAATGTTATTCCTGAGGGGCTTATGAAGAGGAGGGATAAAGAGTGGGCTTTATATTTTTCTCTAGATGGCACTGGCTGCTATGAGGATACTGTGTTGTATAGGGACAGGGAAGAGTGGAGAAGATTCTAGAAACAGGAAGGACTAAAAGATTAAATGGAAGCTAGAGGTGGTGGCATTTGAGGTTAAGGTCTGAGCTTCATCTTTTCCCTTATACTCTCTTAATTTTCTTACCGTATTAAATGTGCATTCCTTTCAAATTAGTGAATCATCCCAGGTTTGCTCGTTCTCTAATTGGTTCTGTACTTGGTTCTATTAATTTTGTTCTAATAATTGGTTCTATAATTCTGAATACATCTAATCTCTAAGGAGATCAGTTTAGTTTCTGTAAAATGATGAATTGAATGAGATGATCATTTTCTAGCTTTAATAATTGTCTATTAAATTTTCTGATGCATTATGACTTTATGTTACTTCCCCAACTAGAACACACAGGAGATTAATAAAATTACTGAAATATTTGCAATGGCATGAGTGCCCATGAAATTCATTTATACTCTTGTCACCACAAAGGACAAGTCAGTTCTTTTAAAATGACCCACTTGTGAAAGAAATTACTATGTATACTACTCAGTGAGCTACTTATGATAAAAACTTCTTTTAGAGTGGATTAATTCAAAAGGCAGATCCATTTACACTGTTGTGAGGTGGTTCCCCCCACCTTTGGATGAATCCATTACTTAAAGAATAAATTTAGACATTAATTTCCTTGAAGGTAAGTCTTTTAAGAATTGAATTTTATAGTGATTTCATAAAGCAGAGCATTGCATTTTCTATGGCTTTATTGATATTTTAATTTTTTATACCATTATTGTTCATTGTACTTACAGATCCCTTTGGTCCAGGTAATCCTATCTCTCCCTAAATCAATAAAACAAAATTATGTTAGAACCATGCATTCACGTTTGATAGTTTACTAAAAACATTTAATAGGTTATTGTGTTGCTGAAATCCATAGAAAACCATGAAGATGAGAGATGATGGACTCTGAAAAACAAACTGAGGGTTCTAGAGGGGAGGTGGGTAGGGGGATGGGTTAGCCTGGTGATGGGTATTGAGGAGGGCACGTTCTGCATGGAGCACTGGGTGTTATGAACAAACAATGAATCATGGAACACTGCATCAAAAACTAATGATGTAATATATGGTGATTAACATAACAATAAAAAATTTTAAAAAAAAAGAAAACCATGAAGAGATGAACCCTGGCATTGGCAGAAAAACTGGAGATTCAAAATTTGGATTCTAGTCCCAGTTCTGCTACTTTGTGAGCTTTGTAACCTCCTAGCCTTTGACTAACTTACCTGTTAAATAACATGGTGGAATCGGAGCTCAACTAGGCTCCAACCAGATCTAAAATGCTAGGTGTTGAGACTTAAAATGTGTAAGTCAAAAGACATTAAACTAGCATGCTGTTTTAAAATATAGTGGACATTTAAACCTGATGACTTCATTTTTGAAACTCTAACAATATTCTAAAACTCATCTGGAAAAGTCTATCAAACCAAATATGCCTGATTTTATGCATAAATCTCTCCCCCCTAATTCTAGATATGAATTCAGCTCAAGTTCAAGCACATCAGTTCATCTCCACCACAAAACAATGATTTAAAACATCCTCTTAGCCCATAAAATGAAATTTTTTAACAGAAAATAAATTTAAAATAATTCTTTTCAAATTTACTTAATAGAGAGCTTTGCCTAATTCAGATGTTACATTAATATTAGCTTTAAATCCTGAAAATCTGAATAAAACAACATTACAAGAATTTTTTTTTCTGCACTAAGTGCTCTCTGGAACTATTTTATGAGAAACCTATCATCACTCCAAAGGACCAAATGTAAGTTTCCACATTAGGTCATGTTAGATTGTGTCAAAACCACAAAGATGAGCCAGCAGATGTAACAGTTCTGGCAATAAAGAAAATTTTTTCTCATTCTTGCTACCTTCCTGGAGATTTAGCAGCAGCATCCTCTGGAGATGGAGGTCACTTCTTTGGCAGGTTTTAGACTATGGAAAGTACCCATGGTCAAACTTGTGAGCCATGGCTTTCTGGCTATAATAAAATTCATTTTGTTTCCATGATAGGCACTATTCATAGACTTTCTATAGTCATCTAAGAATCACTTTGAACGTCCAGGTGTAAAGCCACAAGAAAGTCACCACCTATAAGAGAACACTTTGTTCTCCGACGGCTTAAGGCCTGGTCTATCAATTTTGGGATGTTTACCCTCTGCTTTACTTGAATTTGGCTGCATTCATTCATTAGTTTATATAAGAGACACTGTAGCCGCTGAAGAAGTCAGCAAGGATAACAGTATCAGAGAAAAAGAAAAATTATGTTTCTAGTACAGTTAGAAATCAATAAGGCTCATCATCAACCAAAACAAAATGTCTTACAAGTTCACCCCTTTCTCCTGCTTCACCTTCTTCACCAGACAAACCCTAAAAATTAAAATTAAAAGTCATATTTTTGAATTCTTACTCCCTTGCCTCAGTTTTAACCCGTCAACATTGATAAGCATTCCTAAGTGCCCACAGTGCCCACCAGATCATGCAGAAATACAAAATGCCCTCAATGGCTTTTCAATCTAGCTGTCAGTGGCTAGTCAAAAATAGAATAGAGCCTAGAGAAAAGATAGCAGGTGAGGCTGAGTTTCTTCTAAAGTTAAGGATTAATGATCGTATCCAGCAAATTTTATAATTAGGTAATCCTTGAAAAAAAGGCTTTCACTGTAGAAAAAGGAACCCAGAAAAAGGACTAACTCTAATTCACATTCACACTTTATTTGTTAAGGTCTTGATACAGAAAAACTCAAAATATGATGATGCAGCTATAGAAGGCTCCATCGGTCACAAGTAAATCAATCTGGTGAATGAGAGCAAGGGACACTCTTTTCAATGTGTCATCTTGGAGGCAGAGCCATCATCAGTTCTAGCCTATTAAAGCAGTAGATAAGGTTACAGACCAAACTAAACTCTAGCTTTCACACACTATGAAGCACAATTGAGAGACACTGCTAGCCTCCGTCCTTTTACTCACACCCATAAACCAGCCAGTGCCCCCTGCTGGTGAGGCACCTCCATGCACATCACGGACTGCATTTCATACTCTCCTGATAGGACCTACCTGTCCACCCTTTGGACCAGGCTCACCGACTACTCCCTGTAACGAATAAAACATAATACCTTTTCAGTATTTTGAGATGTTCAACTATATAATTTCAAGTGAACCAACTTCCCTCCTCAGGCTGGTAGATAAGGGCAAGTATGAATAATGTGATAGATGAGGACTTGCTCCTCTCCCCACAACCTAACAACAGGGCTCCAGGCTGGGCGTGGAGCCTACTTAAAAAAAAAAAAAAAAAAAAATCAGGATGACAACCTAACAACAGCCAGGTAAGGCCTGGAGAAACTGACAGTTGTCCAAAACCTGGCAACTCGGGGTGCTCTCTGATCACGTCCACATAAAATTGGACTGGTAGGAATGTAAATTTAAAACTAAACAGGAACTATGATTACAACTGGCATTTTTACTTTTCTCAACTTTTGTATTTTCCTTCTGATAAATTATATATATGTGTGTATATATATGTGTGTGTGTGTGTGTGTGTGTGTGTGTGTGTGTATATATATAGCTTCTTAATCTCAACTCTCAGTAATTCAGGATAACTTTCTTAACAGCTGTCTATGATAATTGCTATAAAAATCTCCACTGTGCTGAAAGCAAGCTTGGTTTCTCAATATAGTAAAACTCATCCAAATAAGGAACTTTCTGGGGGACTAGATATCTTACCCTGTCACCTTTCATTCCAGGAAGGCCAGGGGGGCCAGGCAAGCCAGGGAGGCCAGGACTGCCAGGAGAACCCTGAAAAACAAACACGGTGTCTCCAGAATCACTATTACTACGACACTGCAGTCACACGAGGCAGACACAACCTTGGGTGTGTGGACGCTCGTCTAAAATAAATGTGCTGTCGTTTGTTTAACTCTGTTCCTCAAATCTGCCTCTCTCCCACGCTCTCTGGGGAAAAAAAACAGGCCAGTCCCTCCACCCCCTTGTTCCCACCGAGGAGGTCCTCAGTTCCTGGGTTTGCACCCTTCCCAACAGTGGGCTCTTTCAGTGGAGTCCCTGCAATGGTGCTGCTTCTCTCGCTGAGTAAACAAGCAGGGCTCAAGAAGTAAAAGGCAGCGTTCACGCCCACTTCCCTTCAATTCCAAGAACAAGCAGAGGCCAAGTGTAGCACTTCACGTCTCTCCCGGTTTCAAAAATGTATGCTGCAAACCACACTGATTAAAATACCCTTGGAGGGTATCCTAGGTATAACTTGAAATTTCCCATTTACATTTCCACGCGTTCACATAACAACAGAAATCAAGTACAGATGATTAAGTCACCCTTTGTACATTGTTTTTCCTCTCCTTATTTTTTAAAATGTGTTTTGTATAAAGCAAATAAACTTCTGGAGGCTGGAAATATTACTTACCAGTTTACCTGGTAGTCCTGGGGGTCCCACTGGTCCTCTCTCTCCTCTACTGCCCTGGAAAAACACAAACACGACCGTCCACTGGCTAGTTTGCCGAAACTCAAATGCCTAATTACTGCGTCAGTAAAACAACACTCTACTTAGGTTCTTGTTTAAATATAAAAGTCATCAAAGTGTTCTCCCCATCTTCAACTGAAGGCAGAGACCTTTCCGTAAAAATGCCCCCAGCCTCCCCAGTGTTTATCCGTCGGCGAATGTGGTCATGCTGTTCCTTGTGATTATGGCCCGTTAGATAAAAACGACGTCTGCTACCTCTACGTGAAATGACAATGAGTAGTTCCCAGCATCTGAACCACAATGTAACTCATACTATGGTTTATCTGTGTATATGTTTTCTCCTCTTGTTAGAGTGTGTGTTCTTGAGGTATTATGTACACCAATTCTGAATTCCACCTAATGCCTAAAACACAGTAAATTTCTGGTCCACAGTGCATTTTAAAACAGCATCTAGCAAACGATCTTGAGCTGCAAAGGAGTGAAAAAAAGGGAGAGAGAAACAGGACAGAGATGTTTGCCTTTAAATTACTAATGCGACTTCAAAAAGACAGAGATAATAGAAATTTACAGAGTTTCTGACATACGAAATTCCTTGTTCTACTCATGCTTGTTCTAAACACGCCTTAAAAGATTAAATAAACTTTGGAAAGTACAATTTATAATGGAAATACACCGAAAGCAACATTCCAGTTTGTGAGCCAATTTCAATTCTTTATTTGAAACTCTAAGCCCTTTGAGAAAAGGAGACACACGAATTCTTCAATTTCTTTCCCCAAGAACTTCATACAGTCTTATGCAGTCTGATAAAAACTTGTTTTATTTCTAACTCATATTCAACTAAACTGAACACAAGGTTATTGAATAAATAATCACATCTCCTGGACAGTGTATAGAAAAATGAAAGTAGTCTTTTGAGTTCATTTTACTTTAAAATGACATGACAACTTCATATTAATTCTTGATATTTATAAATGCTCCTGCTAAGATTATCCTGATCTGGCCCATATGCTCTTCATTTATCTCTAAGTTGAACCAAGTGTCAAGGTCCATAATCCTTCTGAATTTTCAGTTTCTTTAAAGGATTAAGTAATGTTTGCCAGATTACAAGTCTCTAGCTTTGAGCTACACTTAAGTGGCAGTTGTCTCAAATGACTTATAGGTGATTTAAATGAAATGCTCTTAAATACTTTTCAAAAAATTTTATATAAGCAACCTGTCTAATATGTAAGTTTGGATGATACATTGGCCCTTAACCCTTGTGAGCAGCTTAGAAGCCTGAGGCTGGCCTATGAGGATGGGCACTGGAAAGATGTAAGACTAGATGAAAACCAGCCACTGTGATAGGTTCTTCTATCCATCTATTAATATAAAGATCGGGTTCTACCCCATTACTTTAGTCCAGCACTTGAAAGTTCAAGACAGATTTTCTTCAGTATATCTGCTCCGTTGGCATTTTCAAATAATTTCTGAACTGCATCATGATGAAGATCCTAAGTGTCATTGGGCTAACATGACTTTAATTCACAAAATAATTAACAGTCATTGGTAGGAAAACTAATTAATGATATCAGAAGGGGAAAGCAGTTCTTGGCACAACCTCAAGTACTCACTTCTTTCATACACACACACACACACACACA